GATTTTTTTCATTGACCAATTTTTTTAAAGACTAGAATAAATAGTAATCCAAAAATGTTATATCTTTGGTATGGTAGAGAGGTTTGTAGTGATAGCAACAAATAAATCACTAAATAACCTTTGTACTAGGCTATGTAGGAGTATGAAACCAAAATAATAAATAATTAATAATAAAAGAAATTAAAAGTTAAGTAATAAAATTACTTTAAAATATAGATAAGAATGATAATTAATTATAAATAAAGAAAAAGTGAGATTATAAAAAAAATAGTTAAATAAATATGAAAACTCCCATCATGAACCAGAACAAGCATTTCTGACACCAACTGAAACAGAAATTAGATATTTTCCCTCTTCATTTTTGACAGCCAAACAAAGCAGACGTTTGGGCATAGCACTCTGACAGACCATGTGGCTCTTACCAGATGAACAAAAACTTTTTTTTATCTCTGTATACATATATGTACTTTGAAATATACAAACATTTCTTTGAAATGTATACAAAAGCCTTTTATCATTTTTGTTTACGCATATTGTGTTATATCTTGTGAAAACTTACACAGTTACTAAACAGTAACAATTTTTGGTTGTTCATCAACAAAACATGTGGTTTTGTGTTATCCTGATGGAATATGGTATTTTTCTTATAACTTTTAGTCAACTGGTGTCTTCAGTTGCTTTAATTGGGAATAGTACTAGCCTCTGCAGAAGAGGTTCATAGGAGAACATTTCCTTTCGATTCCACCATATACATGATACCACCTTGTTGTTGTGAAGTATATACTTTTCATTGCCCATCACAATATGTTTTAAAAAAGGAACAACATTAAGGAAGTGAACATAGGAATAATGTTCAAAAAGTTTTATACATTAATTTATATGGGAACCACACGTCAGTGTCATAATTAGTGTTTAGTTGTGAAGGAAAAGAATAAAAAGGTTGAAATTTTCAACAGTGTATATTTGTTAAATATACATAATATATATTTAGTTGTTAAAACATTGGCAAAAATTGTTAATATGTTGTTTTTGGTTGCTGGTTTCAGAATTAGCGATTAGATGTAAGGGTATTTTCAGTAGTGTCAGGAGGTGACCAATTTCTTGTGTTTATTTGGCTAAAGTCACAGTTGGGTCAGATAATAGGTCTGGAGTGGATTAGCCATTGGTGGGGTTTAACACATGCCTTTCTTTAATATTGAAATCAACATCTGACATGGTGTTTGATGGGTTGACAGTTGTGTGTAATGCCAAGATGTTGAAGTTGAAACTGCCTAGGAAGGTGGGTTGGCATGTTGATCGAGATCACAGTGGTGGGTTGATTCATGGTAAGGCGCATTGGTTGCCAAGGCTATGGCAGTGGTGATCAGGGATTAGGTGTAGCTGGTGAATGTGGATCAAGTGGAAGTTCTCTGTGGATTCTGATAAAATGTATTATCAATGAGACAGAGTCATGATGGTGATGACAAGGGAGGCCTGGAGTGGGTTGAACGAAATGTCTCTGTTGGATTCTGGTCGAATGTGATATTGAGACAGGGTCACATGGTGACGATGAGGGAGGGCTGGATTAGATAGTTAAGGTGTTGAGGGGTGGTGATAGCAACAGAGTGCTTGCATGCTGACAGGTGGCTTTTTGGACCGCCACTTTGTGGTAAGGTGGGTTGATTCATTGTGGGGCATGTTAGAGTCATGGTGGTGATGACAAAGGAGGCCTTGAGATGGGTAGTGATGATGTCAAAGTGTTATAAATCACAGTGGTTAGTGTCAGAAGCTTGGCAGTGTTGAAGCTGGCCTGTTGGCCACATTCCATAAGTGAAGAGTCAGGTAATATTAGTGTAGTTTGGGCGACATCGCTGTTGTGATGAAAAAAGTGATCATGGCAGTGATGGCGACAGTATGCATGTGTGTCGGCAGGTGTCCTTTCAGCTCGCAGCTATGTTGGGGCCTTCTCTTAAGCAAATCTGGTAGTCCCCAGGGTCATCTCTTTTTTCGGCAAGAACGTTTGTGATTGGCTATTGTGCAGAAAATGACTTTTTTTATTTTGTGTTTTGTGAACTTGGCACTCACATCCAGCAGACATGCACAATGAATCAGAAAGAGATCAAATTGCAGTGGAGTATAACAAAAGCAACTAATATATCCAAGCTGGGCTCTAGGACATTTACATACTGGACATTTATGTCCTGGACAATTGTTTTCTTGGATAATTGTATACCTCTGATAATTTTTTGAAGCTTTTAAAGGCAATTACCTTAAATTTTAAAAAAAGCATAGGTAGTAATCATAAATTTTTTAAAAATGAAAAAAAATTAAAAGTTTATTTTTGTTTAAAATGCAATGACAGATTAACAGTGTTGCAAGATTGCTCTACACATCGCCAGTATGCTTTTGTTTCATCTGCATTTTTCTTATGATAGTGGTAGCTGTAATTTTCCTTATTCACGAATATTTTTCCACCAGTGTTTGATTTTTGGAACTTAGCCATGGGTTCCAAATAAAAATATTATCTGTAAAATCCAGAATATATTAGATGTTTGTGGTACACACTGCTGTTTAAAACTAAAACTGCTAGCTTAATTTTCTCTTGCTTTAAAAAAGAAATTTTTCTATCTATTTTTTTTATTTATGGTAACTACCTTTCTGCTTATTTAGAGTAATGAAAGGTGTGTAAAAATTTCTATATTAAACAATTCTTTAAAAAAAAGGTAACTTCAAAAAATTATCAGAGGCACGCAATTATCCAGGGATGCAAATGTCTAGTACAGAACTGTTCATCCACCAACCAAGCTGGTCTAAAAGATTTTCAGGGCTTGATTTGGAAATTTTGAATATGTTGGCTATCTCTCATCTCATAATGGTAATTATTCTTAAATAATTTTACTTGTTATTAACTATAAACATTTATATGAAAACAAAAGCAAAACAATAAATAGCTTTCTGCAGCATTTTTTGGGGCCTTATTGTGGCCCCTGTTATTTTTTTGCACTGTTTTGGTTTTTAAATTATTTTTAAATTGACATTACATTGTCAGTCATCAACTAATAACGACAAGGTTTGAGCTCCAAAAGGGCTAGTTTCAGCAGCGTTTTTTTGCTTTTTGTACATTTTACTTTTTTCTTCTAAGTTATATTGTCAATCATCAACTATAATAATCAACAGGGCTTGTGCTTACTACCTTAAATCTCTCAATCCTGTTTGTGTTGTGTTGGAATCTTTATAAAACATTTTTTTCAGTGGAAATTGCGTTGGTGATTAATCTTAGAAAAAATGTAAAAAATTCCAACTTAAACATTTTGTTTTGAGTAAAATTTAGTCATTGGTTATTAGAAAAACAATAACATTTTCTTAGTTTTTTTTTAAATAAATACACTAATTCATTATAAAAGTAAATAATTAATGAATATGTACTGAAATTTTAATTTAACTTGGATAATAATTCCCTAACTTTTGGTAATTTAAAAAATGTGTTGCCCTTCCCTCTCAATTTTTCTTCGAGGGTTTGTGGCTCTCAGTTTGGGAAACTTTGAAATTGACATGTAGTAGAGAGAAAGCCCCTGCCCCCAGGCCCTATCAACATTGGCGGGAAGAACCCTAACGCTGGCCCTGATAATTTTTTTTTATTGTGCTTAAAGAAAGAGTTACTTTATATTTTTTTATATATGGAATAATCCCAGACAACTCCAACTGATCTCAATCATAAAATATTCAGTGAAAAATCTGAATAAAAATCGGTAAACCAATTTTGATGTCTGATCATTAACCTGGCACATGCCGGGGAAATTTAAAAAAATATTAAGCCCACCCCTCAAGCAGCACCTCTCATTCAACAGGGGCCTGGACTTACTGCCCGGTGCCTAAAGTGTCCCCAAAAGGGGAAGTGCCGAGAGGTTTTGGGCAATTTTTCTATAGTATTGCCGTTTTAAACCCACTCTAAACATGCAAACGTTTTTTCTTTCTATGACTTTCTTTACCTTCTCTATAAACTGCACGAATTTTGTTTAGTTGGTATTTTGTTTCACTTTTGACATTTTTTTATTTTACCTTTTTTTTTTTTTTACATATATTGAAATTAATGTAAATTATTAAACGATTGCCTCAAATTTGTAGACTTGTACCTAAAAAAATTAAGCTAGTCTTAAATAGTAAAAATGATTATTCAATTCATCATAGTGGGTTACTTAGACAAAAAGGTCTCTAACCATTCCTTCCAGTTTCAATATGCATTATGGTGAATCAGAATAATTAATAACAGAAAAGAAAATTATTTTCGATTTTACTTTTTTTCAACCTAAATTAAATATTTTTATTGTGAATAAGTGACAACGTTTAAGGAAGTGTAAAAAACACTAAATAATGTTAATTTTCTAAATTTCCTCTTAAAAATTAATCATTCAGGAAGAATAAAAGAAAAGAAAGAATAATCAAGCAATTATCTGAATTCAGAATTATGTCGTTAAATTTCTGCGTGTTGTGGAGGCGGGGGAAAAAACGAAGACACCGAGTTGTCTTCTACGAAAAGGAGTTCTTCACTTTTCATCAGCGAGAAAATATTTTTTAAATTGTCACTAAAATCCGGTTGTAATGCAGCATTTTTTATTTTGTGCCATAAATAACATGACTAATTCATGAGAGGATGATTTATTTTTTTTAAATAAAAGAAAATTCCTTCCATGTCAATTGTCAATCAATAAAGAACTTTAAATGTATTTCCTGTCCCCCTAAAAGCCTCAATGTCCGCAGGGTAAAACTAAAAAATAACAATTAATTTTTAACAAAAACAAAATTCATATTGAATGTATTGTAAAATTAGCGGTGTGTTCTTTTGTACATGACGTTTACGTTTTTTTAACATTATAGTTGACCTTTTGCCTGCATAAAAGCTAAAAATTGATGATCACGTAAATAAAAATAAAATCAATTACAGTTCTTCCTCATGGTAATAATAATAAATAATAATGTGGCTGATTCCAAATTAATAGATATAAGCGTTGCTTTATGTACGAATGGAGCTTCTTTCTAATTATAATCATCGTTACAGGGTGCGGTTAGTGTGACGAGAGACATTCTATTTTTCGATGTTTTTAAACAATGTCAATATTTGAACGAAGGCACCTACAACTAAAAACGGATGAAGGTGGCAGTAGTACTTGGAAGACACATATCTGAACTGCTATTGTTTACTTAGTCTGTCCATATCTCTTTCTCGCTCAGCAGTCAGTGGAAGACGAAGCTGACTTGCATGCTTCTCCACGAACTACTAAGTAAAGTTCCATTTCACTCATACACTTCAGATAACATTCACAGGTAGGTACACTTACACTAAGTTCACGCAGAAATTGGCCTCTCGGTTAAAGCTATTTCTTTTTCATATTTATTAACAGGAAAGCATACAAACTGGTAATGTAAAAATGAAGCCGACGTCATAACTGAATGTTCAGTATATATTTTTTTTTGTTTAGCCTTCATTCACACATTTTTAGCATTCTGAACTTTTGAAGGTATTTCGACTTCTACTTTAGCATTCTTGAAGAACATCTTATTTACTATTGCTTTTCATACACTTTTTAAGTAGAAAGATTTGCGATGTGTTTGAAAAAAGTATAAAAACAAATAAAACAGTTTTCATTAATTTAAAATGTACATTTTTAGTAAGAATCCAGAATAGGAACAGAATGTAGGTCAATTCTCAAGATGGCCACTATAGAATCGATCAGCAGGTATTACGACACGACGACTTGAAATGCATGTTTTTTTTTTCTTTTTATCTCCTGTCAGGATTAATCGTGTTTAAATAAACATAAACCATTTTACATAAAGTGTCAATAAGTTTATTGAAAAAAGAAAAAAGTTATCTAAAATATGCCGATATGAACATTTTGTTGATTGTCCTAAATTAGAACAAAACTAAAAAATCAACCCAATTTATTTATGTATAATTATTGATAATGTGTATTTTAATAACCTTCAGATATTTCAATATTTAAAAATTCTTGCACACAGTGAGGTCTTCTTAAAATGTTCTACAAAATAGCACAAAATAACCTATTTTTGATTGTTTATTACAGCAAAAATTGAAATTAATTTTCTTTCATTCTTTTTTTTTTTAAACTTCTAGTTAGGTTGATGCTACAGTTTTGTTTTTGAATCTCAATTTAATATTCTATATTACAAAAAAAAAAAAACAGTGGTGCTTTTGTAGCAAAAAGGATGATAATGTTGCTATCCAAAATGCTGTACATCTCTATGAAAAAAATGTATACCATTGTAAGCAAAAGAAATGAGCCACATCATTATTTAATTATTACTCAGATTCAAGTATTCAATAATATAGTTTCAGGAGTAGTATCTGTGGTCATTCAAGACTGTAATACAAGTTTTCACTTTATGTGAACACAGTAGAAAGTGAGGTATAGACCTGAATGCAGGGTGATACTGAAAATAAAGCATGCAAAAGTTATGAGCCCCTAGAGGAAACATAGAATTAACTGCTTTTATTGATTGAATGAAAAATCTGCTCACCACTGGATTTAAAATCAGTATTGGGTACTTTTATATTCTGCTTTAAATTAGATCTCTTTCTGATTCACTCCACATCAAAACCCGCTGGCTGCATGTGAACACTATTAAAGTAAAAAAAGCATAACAAAACACTGAATCATGTATTCACCCTAACTGCTTAAAAGGACCTGTTTGCAACACTTAAGGCAGTCATAGGTGAGTAGACAAGCAGACAGCCATAGACACCACCAGTGGCCATGGTCAAATGACCCAACACAAACTTCAACACCAAGACCTACTGACTCCCCACATCCTCCAGCCCCCCCCACATACAAAGACATTCTGCCTTGATATATCAGGAATAAAAGGAATTTTATTTTAACATGTCTTTTCTTTCCAACTCATCAGTGGTACTTTGTTGTTTCATTTGTTCGCATGTTCCCATGTGATTTACAACAGTATCAAGTCAAGCCCTCTCATTGGCCCGGGCTCTCTCTCTCTTCTAGTTGGTGTCTCCACACATGTATTTTTAAATCTGAAGAAGTTTGTTTTTTTTGTTTTTTTCAGAGTAAGTTGAAATGTCCATTAAGCTAAGTGTATTTGGTCATAATGTGTAATAGTGGTAATTACAAGTCGCTTGCAATCATTGCTGATTAATTCTATTTCTCTCTTGACTACTTGGGTTTATATAGTGTGTCTCTTGTCCATATGTAATTTACATATCATTACATCTTCCTGAAACAGAGGAGTTTTATGCCCTTGGTTGATCTTTTGCTTCTCTACATTTTGTGGGATTTCCTTGTTCTATTTCTATTTACAAGAGATAACAATCTGCCTTGCACACTTTTATCTTCATGGCTACCTCCATTCAGTTGATCTTTCATCACTGTTTTGGAGATCAAGATTTTTGTCCCACTCATTTTCATCTGGTTTTATTGATTATTTTCATTATGATTGTCATCCTTTATGTCCTCTGACATTTGTTCATCCATTTCTACATTTTCGTCTTGGGACCTTATTTGACCTGCATGGTCTAGTATACATCTCACTTGTTTGTTTATTATAGCTGTATTATGACTTTTTGCATTAGAAAAATTGCCTTTTCAGGACCTGACTCCTTATTCTTTTTGTACCACATTTTTTCATTTATAGAATATATAGAATGTTAAGAGAACTCTGATTTGTCTTCCCATCAGAGCTGATTGGCTCTCTAGTTTTCCAGTGTGTGGTATGGTTAGAAGCAGTTTTGGTAGAAAGATTTCCATTTTCTCTTTTTGCTACCACATGCTTTTAGGCCCATTTTTATGGTTTGTACCATCGTTTCCACCACACCATTTGATTGAGGATGATATCAGGGTGTCTTAAAGCTTGTATCCTATCTGTCATAGCCATCGGTTGGGTTATTCAAAACTCTGGAGCATTGTCAGATATCAGAGAACTCCATTTCTTGAAAATACGACTTTTGACGTGAGTTTTACTGTAGAACTTCTTTTGTCTGACACACAAATTACTTCAGACCATATTGAAAAGGAATCTACTAAAAAGTCTCCTCTACTGATATACATTACAGTTAAAAATTTTCGGGAGATCCTGGATTTCTTTAAAAATCACCTTAAAATGAGGTATTTCTAAATTTTTTAAAGTAAAAGATAAATTTTCAGTTACAGTGTATTTGCAAAAGCAAATTTGGACAAAACAATAAGCACTGAACTATAAAGAATTATCATACAATCAGCGTCACATTTTTTGTTTTTGTTAATAAAACCCCCACCTGCCTTAATTACTGCTTTACAAATTCTTGGCATTCTTTCCCGCAGTTTTTGAAAAAAAGTAGATAGTAGACCTTTCCAAGAATTTTTCAAGCACTGAAAAAGCTCACTCTCACTCATTGGGCATTCTCTACAAACTTTCCTATCCAATTCATTCCATACCAATTCAATGGGAGGGAGATCAGGAGAGTAAGGCAACCAAATCATAATTTCAAAAATTTTTTTTTTTTGACTTGAGGTAATTTTGACATAATTTAGAAGAGTGTTTTGGTTTATTGTTTTGAAAGGTGAATTTTTTTCCCAATTATGCATAAGTCAAATGATATAAAAATCTGCTAAATTGAATGATATATCAAATCTCCAGCAATCTCACTTCAAAAAGACCCCAACACCATAACATACCCACCACCATGTTTAACTGTTGGTACCACATATTCATCATTCAGTCTTTCTCCTATACTCTCCTCTTACTACAAAAAAGTTCAGATTTGAACTCGTCTGTCCACAATACCTTTTGTCACTCTTTCAATGTCTTTTTCCAGTTCTTTTGCCCATAATGGTCTTTTTTGCTAATTCACCTTCTGTAACAGGGTTTTTTTATGGTTATGCACCCACTGTGCTCCACTGATCTAAGTTGATTTTTCACAGTTAAGAGCAACACTAGTTGATGCTGAGAGGAATTACATTCAGCTGTCTATTCTTCATTCCCAAATTTTTCAAAATCATAGTACTGGGTAGTCTCTCTTGATCTGTATAGATATTTAATGACTGGGTTCTTGTTTCATGGACATAAATTTTGTCCATTCTGTCATAACCATCCTCTTTTGGGATTGCATAATAATATAATTTAACTTATTTCCTTAAAGATCTAATTTCAGGGGATGAGCCATTATTGAGACATTTCTGTCTGCCTCAACTCATGTAATGCCATAAAAAGGCCTGTTACCTTGTTTTCTCCCCATTTAACTTTGTCTTTCAACTTATTAGCCTTGCATCAAAGCATCTCAACCATGTGTCCACAATATCAGAGTCCTCTAGGGCTAACAGGCATCCTATCAGCAACACCATTGTCATAGTAGTATTTGCAAGTACTTGCAATTGAGGTTAACATATTCTATCTTCTTCATGCCTACTTGGGTTTATAAAGAGCATCTCTCATCCATATACAAATAATCAAACTCTTACATAAGAAAACTATTGATCTCAGAATAATAAAGTACTTGTTTAAATGAATAAAAAAAATACTGCATTTATTTAGTCTGGATTACAATATCAACTTTTCTCTGGTTGAGGTGCTGCATCTTAAAGTTCTTATAGTTGGTTAGTTATTCTTTACAAGAAAAAAAAAAGAACTTTTAATCATGAAAAAGTTGAATTGGAGTAGGCCAGGAAATATGATTTTAAGCATTCAAATGAAAGTACTCCTCAAATTTCTTCAAACTTGACAAGAAAATCTTAAGTTATAATTTCTTGGTTTTCTACAATTTTTCAGCTGATATCTTTGTCTCACTAAACATGCTTTCCTGGGTCCTGCCTTCACATTGCTACATTTTAATTTCATTGACTCAATTATTTCCTCCTATTATCCAAGATTGGATGACATAAGTGGCTCAATCTTAACATCTATGCTCAGCTAATCAAGAAATCCTGGCCAAAAGCATTTAGCATTTTTAAAAAATTCTTTTTTTTGCAATGGTAAAATTTAAAATAATCAAATTTTCTTAATCTATCTCTGTCACCAAGATAAAAACCAGATGCTTGTAGACATTTTGAAACTTAAGTAAAAAACACAACAAAAAGAAAACTTTATCCTCTGAGATATTCAGAAATACTTTAATTTTACCAGCAAAGAGCTTTCTTTAGTAATTTCAGAGACATATGTTTATGAGAAAAAAAATAGTTTCTCATAATCACTTAACAAAATCATTTTCCTTTTTTTGCCATTCTTGGTCTAACCTATCAGATTCAAAATTAACTTAGCAAAATTGTTTCTGTATAATTCCAAAGTTTCTCTGAGAAAAAAAATAATTTTTTGCA